GACCCACGAGCCGACTCCGACGACCAAGAAACCCCCGCCATCCCAGAAGAGATCAATGAGGTCAAGCGATATGAAGATTTTACAACAATAGACTGGGTCCAAGATGCAGTTTATGAGCAGTCACGGCGGCGCGCGAAACGGCGCAGTGGCGCTAGATTCTGGGATCAGGAAGGGATCCTGGGCTGGAGACGGAAAATGTACGAGTCATACGATGCAGGTCAGGCATGGCTTGTCGTTACGCTTGTGGGTATGGCAATTGGATTAAACTCGGCTGTGCTCAATATCATCACGGAGTGGCTCTCTGATATTAAGCTGGGCCATTGTACTACCGCATTCTACCTCAATGAGTCTTTCTGCTGCTGGGGTGCCGAGAATGGTATGTTCAGCAGGTTGTACAAGGCTTATTAGAAACTAATCCTTTTCCTCGATAGGCTGCCCCGAGTGGAAACATTGGACTTCATTCTGGCTGATAAATTATGTGTTCTATTTCTTTGGCGCGGTAAGACCTGTTCCTGGCTAATACTCGAGAAACTATGGGTTCGTAGGCTAATTTGAGAGATAGTTGCTATTTTCATCCATCGCTGCAGTCCTGGTCAAATCGTTTGCGCCGTACGCTGCAGGCTCTGGTATCTCAGAGATCAAATGCATTATTGCTGGCTTCATCATGAAGGGCTTCCTAGGTGCATGGACTCTTCTAATCAAGTCAATTGCCCTTCCACTAGCTATCGCGTCGGGCTTGTCTGTTGGAAAAGAGGGACCCAGCGTACATTTTGCTGTGTGTACTGGAAACGTGATATCACGGTTCTTTGGTAAATACAAACAAAATGCATCCAAGACGAGAGAAATCTTGACTGCCTCGGCGGCAGCTGGTGTGGCTGTTGCTTTTGGCAGTCCAATTGGAGGCGTGCTGTTCTCCCTGGAGGTGAGTTCCACTGCGCGCTAGCTCATACGATGAAGACTGACCGTCAATCAGGAAATGGCAAGCTATTTCCCACTGAAGACTCTTTGGCGCAGCTATTTCTGTGCCTTGGTGGCAACTAGTGTGCTGGCGGTACGTTTTCAATATTGTCAATTGATTCTGGGCCATCCCTAATCTATTCTAGGCTGTTAATCCTTTCCGAACCGGTCAGTTGGTCATGTTCCAAGTGGAGTATAATCGCACATGGCACTTTTTCGAGTTCATTTTCTTTATTGGCCTTGGTGTCTTTGGTGGACTTTACGGTGCATTCGTAATGAAATGGAACCTTCGAATGGCCGCGTTCCGCAAGAAATACCTCTCACAGTGGCCTATAACCGAGTCGGTTGTTCTCGCAGGACTTACTGCGATACTGTGCTACCCTAACATGTTTCTGAAGATCAACATGACCGGAATGATGGAGATCTTATTCCGTGAATGCGAGGGTGGCCATGACTATAACGGACTATGCGAGTACGTATATACCCCTTCATATTCGTGAGATGACACTGCTAACTCATTGCAGCTCCAAGAACCGATGGTCGATGGTCTTCTCACTAGCTATTGCGACTATTCTTCGCACTGTTTTGGTAATTATTTCCTACGGGTGCAAGGTCCCAGCCGGTATCTTCGTGCCTTCGATGGCTGTCGGGGCTTCATTCGGCCGCATGGTCGGAATCATGGTACAGGCATTATATGAATCGTTCCCCCAATCGGCATTCTTCGCTTCGTGTGACCCAGATGTTCCTTGCATCACACCGGGAACATATGCGTTCCTGGGAGCTGGGGCAGCCCTCAGTGGAATCATGCATCTGACCATCTCTGTAACGGTCATCATGTTCGAGCTGACTGGCGCACTAACCTACATTCTACCGACCATGGTAAGATTCCATTCTAAATGGCATTGTTTCATCTAACCATGCTGACTGTTGTACAGATTGTGGTAGGCGTGACCAAAGCCGTTGGCGATCGATTCGGTAGTGGCGGCATCGCCGATCGAATGATTTGGTTCAATGGATTCCCCTTCCTAGACAACAAGGAAGATCACGTCTTCAACGTGCCGGTATCACATGCAATGACCACAGGCCCGCTCTCACTACCAGCATCGGATTTCCCCGTGCGCGAAGCAGAGCATCTCCTAAACGACAACAAATTCCAAGGCTTCCCCGTCGTGGAGGACCGCACATCCAAAATCCTGGTCGGATACATCGGCAGAACCGAACTTCGGTACGCCATCGACCGCGCCCGCAACCAGGGAATGGTCGCGCCAAACGCCCGGTGCGTGTTCACCAAAGAAGCAGCCGACGCAGCCGTTGCGCGCAGGGCATCCGTCTCGCAACAGTCTCGATCATCGGATACATTCGATGCAATCCAGAGGAGCGCAGGTGCTTCTTTCGTCGATTTCTCACGATATGTCGACCACACGCCACTGACTGTTCACCCGCGTCATCCCCTCGAAACGGTCATGGAGATCTTCAAGAAGATGGGCCCGCGAGTCATTCTCGTCGAGCACCGCGGCAAACTCACCGGCTTGGTTACCGTCAAGGACTGCTTGAAGTATCAGTTCAAGGTCGAAGCCGAGGAACATACACTGGCAGCAACGACTTCATCTGAACTTTCTGCGCTTGGTGGACACCTCAACACCCCTGCCCCTGAAACACTGGAAGATCGCTTGTGGCGGCTCATTCAGACCGTCGCTGTGTTTGTGTCTGGTAAGGTCTCTCGCCGGCCGGTCCGGCTGCGTGATCGTACTGGACCTAGACAATCGGAGCCGTCGGATATTCTACAAGGGAGGGATGATGATGCGGTGGTAGAACTCGAGGACAGAGAGGATCGGCCGATGATCCCATGAAAAGCGGGATTGCTATGTTGTCATGTGTATACGTTACGTTGATAGGTAGTCATTTGCTACATAATAAGCCTTGCTCGCCTGTCCATTTCTCCATCTATTGCAAGCTCTAATGTGTTCAAGATGGGGGCAAGACCTGGAATATCCCGCATCCCATTAGAGTACAAGCGGCCCAATAAATCTACACTCGCCCTATCGCATCTTGTTCCTGTTAAATCATTTGATACGGAGGTTATCGGGAGTAAGATCGTTCATATCGGAATCTTTGATGGCTCTATGAAACATGTTCTAGGAACGATATATGGTGTTTGACGAAGTCGTTTCGGGTGTCCTTCGCAGGCCTTTCTTTCAAGTCTCTCCCACTGGGTAGAAGAATGATTATAAAGCCATTGTAGCGACTTTCTCCATCGGAAGGAGGAATGGCTGCTTTCATCCTCACTTCTCAAAACAAACCCAACATCATCTCGAGTGGTGGTGGATAGGTAGATTCAGTTCAATCATTTGATCGAGGTGGACACTGAAGTTCCGTGTGAAGTTTGTAGCAGGCGGATAGTTAACAGCTCGGGGACGGCGGAAGTGCATTGAGGAGTTAATGAGTTGGGAGCTCGCAATAGTTTGGGATAGTAGGCCGGGCTAGAGCCGGGCAATGCTGTCGATGTACGCTCTCTCAAGCAATCTTGAGCAGTGGGCAAATGTGCTCCGTCCCATTTCAGGAGAGAAAAGGGATTCCCAGTCAAGGTTGGGGTATGGGCGTGATAGACCTCCCTCGGTGATTGCACTGATTTTTCAGCAGCATCCATTAACCTCACGTCATACTGAGGAATATGTTCCGAAATCTCCAAGCAGAATGCGTAGACCGCGTTGAGTTTGTTATCACCCAAATTCTTGCGTCTTCCAACATCACCGTGGACGAATGAACCATGACCTGGGTCGTGTGACACTCAGCAAAAAGTATGGCTGGTCTTTTTTTTGCTGTTCCCTTCGGAATCCTTTGAATCGTCGATTCTGGCTTGCACACATGTGTCCAATCTTCAGCAACCCATCGGCCGTTTCCTGCCATAGAACTGTAGAATCATTCCGTTTCGGATTGCCCGCTTAGCTGGAATAAAGGCAACGAGGTTCGACATTCGGCTCCCTTCCGAAAGGCACCGATGTGTCCTTCATCGAGAATTATCAAAGGTCCCTTTTTCAAAATGTCAATGTCTGGAGCATTGCCGGGACGGCATATGGGATGGAAGGAGACAACTATAATCACCAGAAGTAAGGAAATGATCCAACAATCAACGTGGCTTTACTCACTTGTCTCCTCTATCTATAGGGCGTATCACGCATCACGGTGAGCCTTGAGATAGTCCCAAAAATGGTAAGATGTGTTGAATGGATGAGAGTCCAAGGAAGAAGTAAGAGGGACCGAAATACCAGAACCTTCCAAAGGCAAGTGCATTCCCAACGTTCCTTATGAGTTGGTCTTCATCCAGTCCACACCTTAGTCCATCGCCTCCAACTTAATTCTACTCTGGTTTCTTTATAAGTCAGAGTGGCAGCTAACATCGGCTGCGAAGCTTAGACATACCCTGCTTTTCGGATCTTTAAAAGACAAAACAGTGAGACTCTTGTCGCCTCGGTGGGCAAGAAAAGGCCAGACGGAAAATCTCACACCGAAAGGAGGCGGCTGCCAGCTTGGTCCCAAACTTCAACGACTCGCTCCATTCATCGAAGCCTCACTAGCGGGTCTACGATTCATGCACCTATACAATTCGATCCTCATCATACCTGATCGACTAGCCTACTCGACTGACCAATTCTTTGCGAATACGCCAACGGAACCAAACAGATAGGAAGAGAAAGAGCAGCGGCGCAATGAAGACTACGTTGACTTCATGACCAACTTCGGCAAGGTATCAGGTTCTCATTGCCACGGAAGAAACCTCAGAGACGTTGCAAACGTCACCGCACTACAAAGGCTTGCCCAAGTTATAAACGTCTTATGGACAGATGGGTGACCATGGCTCTTTGCCTCTTGTACTGCCATCGTCTCGTTGGGTGATATGGTAGGTACTTGGTGGCCACTAAATGATAATTAATACTATATATTAGTCCCTCTTCTTCTTTTTATTCTTTCCCCCGAGTACTGTCAATATATACAATACAGTCACATTGATCTCCCCCCTTCTTGTCTCTAATATCTTTCTGTTATCATGGTCGATTTGCATGCGTTATTGTAGACTCATCATCCCCCATATCACTTCCTTCTCTCGTCGTGAAAGGTGAGAGTGGAATAACATCCCTCGGTTGGTAGCGGCCTCGAGGACTCTCAACTCGACTGCCTGGCGAATAAGCTCGGTGGCTGGTTGACTGCGATACAACGCTGCTGGAAAACAGCCTTGGAAATAGCCTGCTCATGATCGGCTTGGTTGGCGGGATGCTGGCAGCAATGATAGCGACAGCCAGTTCGATTCCTGACCAAATTGAAATCCCAAAGGTATCCCAGGAAGGATCTGGGCTTTGATACATTTTCACAATGTGGACCATCCGTATGATGCTGGCGATACATGCACTTTTGTCTAGTTAGTACTAACTCATATCAAATAAAATCACTCCTGGACATACAAGGAACCCAATGATAGCAAACCAGCGACGACAAATCGCTTCCTAGTCTCAAGTTGAAGACCTGCAGTTGATTAAAATAATATCTAGAGCGGTTCTGGAGTAACCACAAACCTAGAACTGTTTTCAGCGGCAAGAGAAGAATCCAAACATCCATCACCAGAGACAGCGCGGGGCTCAAATACCAGAATGGAACGGATTCAAAGCAGGTATAATGTTCATATTTTTGTTCGTCAAAGACAGCATCGATTGGAGAACACTGAAAGATGATTGCAAGCATAATTGCGACACTCATGGCCGTGACGAATGCGATCGTTCCAAGTGATATTACTCGGATGTTAGGGAACACGCGCAGGTATAACAGGCATATTGATACCTTGATCAGACCGCTGACCAGGGTATCAATGATGTGAGTTACGTATCGAACCTATATTCTCACGTTAGTTAGTCATCTTCTGACCTACGTTATCATTCTCCTGTACCTTCGCTGCAGGAAACAGGTCTGCTTCGGTGAGATCCCATTTGTGCTTCCTAATCCATGCTTGACTCCTATTTATAACATAAGAGATGGGATCATCATAAAAGGAGCGAAAGATGTACCAAAACCATCAACCACCACGTTCAAAGCTGCAAAAATCGTCGCAGCCATCATGATCCAGTCGTCCGGGCCAACTATTTTCACGATGAAGATCCTCGAAATCGTGCGAAGAACCACGATAATTGCTGCGAAGCCTGTCACCGTGCAATTGATGATCAGCAATCGAGACCCACGGTCCTCGATCTAGACAGTTAAAGAAAGTCCGAGAGACTGTGCTTTTGGGTGGACCTTTACTTACATCGGATCGCGGCCGAAAGGTCTCCATAATGTCAATGTCAGACTCAGAATGAGCAAGTGTTACGTATGAAACAAACCGTTATAGAAATCACATAGTAAATAATTTCTAAGGAACTTGGCAAGGATTTCTTTGTTTAGATGCCGGGGATGGGCTAGATCAATAATCAGAATGCGATGGCAATCTTCCCCCGGATTCAAAGCTCAAATGAGATGTATATTAGACATAGCTTATAGATGGATTATTACTAACGTAGAATATAAAAAGAGCTCATTTAATTGCCCCATTTTTGATTAGCGCACGATTTTAATGGCTGAATTATGTTATAGCAATGTTCAAAATCAAATTTGTCTCTATTCTGAATTTGATATTGCCAGTGATGTAATTTCTACCCTAGGTGTTTCTTACAGTGATGAGCTAGAATCAAGGATAATGATATAGTTGGTTTGAGTTTAATTATTACATTGATATAAGGCCAAAACAAAAAGAGACAACCTCTGTCCAGCTCATCCCTCGTCTTAGGGTAACTCTACAAGGGCAGCCACCCTCCGTACAACCTGGTTAAGATTCGGACCAGAGTAAGTGAAGAGTACATCCTCCCGTTCAGAAAAGCACAATTGGCCCGGATGGAATAGTCTTCTGTCCAGGGGCCTGACTGCAAGTGCGTATTCCAGAGTCCTCCGAAAGCTCACAAACTTTTGAGATTCTACTACGCGATGTAGAATCAAACTGTCAAGCTGGTATACACCTCCACTCAATTCACGGAGAATAGACCGCCAGCCTCCAAGCTCCAGCTCCACAACAGAAAGGGTAATAGAGCGGAGAGATTTTCGAATATTGCGAAGGAACATCCCCAAAGCAGCCGAAGAGTCGAATGACATCCGCGAAAAAGTCAACTCTTGTAGTTCCGGCAAGCATCCAACCGACGAAAGCTGGGATAGAAGTGAAGTTGATTTGCAATTCCAGTTAAAAAGAATCTCCAGCTTTCTGAGAGATTTGGCGCCCTGTATCGTTTTCGCCATCCAATTGATAGTCTTTGTCTCGGCATCCGGTATCACAAAGCTCAGTTCCTTGAGCTGAGAAAATGCCGGGATCCCAAAAGTGGCGATACCAAATTGCGTTACGTTAAACTGGTGATTTCTGTCTCTGTATTTCATGATCTCTATCGAGAAAGATTCCATCGGCATGTGCTCGGTGGATATAGCTTCGAGAACAAGACCAGTGGCCTCGTCAAGCGTGATGCCATCGCCGTCGGGATGCGGTGTTGTATATGTTGAATAGTGCAGTTCGAAAGATCGGCAATTCCCCAGGCGTTTCATCACATCGTGCCACGATTGAATATATGTTTCGCTTGATGTATTATCCGGGACGAGCGGTCCCAGACAACATTTTGAATTCCTGACGATCTTCAACTTGCGGACACAGGGGCCAAAGAGTTCATCGTTGGCTGCTTCTTCAAGGCGGGCAAGTGAGTTTGGTGAAAGATCGGTTTTCAATGTGTGTACAAAAGTTTGTGCAAAGTGGCGAAGGCTGCTCTGGTATAGCGCTCGGCAGGTGAGCCGAAGAGCGCATAGACCAGGAGATTCGGTGTATTTGGCGATATCCGCTAGTAGCTCAACTGGGAGACTATGGATACCTGACGCGGGCGCTATTTGGGTACCCATACTGAACTGAGAATTAGGTGAACCGAAAAGTAGGGGAGTGGATAAGAAAAAAAAGATATAAGTATAGGATTCGTAGGGACCGAATAAGATATAGCTGGATGGAAGAGAATGATAGTTTGGATAAAAAAGAACGATGAGTTGGAAGAAAAAGAAAGGTGGACACGAATATAAATAAACTAAATTGAAGCTCCGGTCCTGTTTTGGGAAGTAGAAAGTTCTCACTAAAACCCAATATAAAAACGAAACGTATACCAACCCGTCAGTCATCACATATCAAGGCCGCTCCCTTTTGGGTAGGTGTATATAGTCCCATTACCGTACTATGACATAGGGGAACAATAACATAGTAAAGTAAAATAGGGCAGAGTAAAAGACGTGAGTTGAAGTTATATTAAACCATATACTATAACTAGTTAGCAGGGCAATATAAACGAAGGCCTAGATTGTCAGCCAGATGTGCAGCCCTGGAGAAAAATACATAAAACAAACTAGATGAACATATCACCTGTTATGATTTGATGCCAACATGATAATACAAAGTGATGAAAGGAAATTGAACAATTTTCTGCCCACTGTGAAAGGTCCAGTTGGTCAGGCCAAGATCTGGCTGATCCAGCAATTTCCAAGTTTCCTTTGCGGTGCGAGTTCGAAGACAGGATATAAGCCCATCGATCATGATAGTCAGAGGCGCCACGGGTAGAATGAATGTGAAAAGAAGATGGACTGGCGAGTCCCAGTACCAAAGAAGAGTTACAAAGAAAGTATAAAAGAAGACCAAAGGTGAGCATAGACAAGTCCAAAGATCGCGTGATGTGATTTCAAATATGCTGAAGGGAATCGAATTAGCTTATGAAATAGATGATACAACGGAATCATAACTTGCATAAACGAGTCAGCAGACTCAATTGCATTCTTAAGTATTCCCGCTGCATCTTCATCTCCAAAGTGGTGGAAACAGATATTGAAGATCCGACACTCTTTTTTCGAACTTGCTGCAAATCGAGGAACAGCTCGGGCATCCACCGGGCTCTCGATATACGTGACGTTCTGCTGTTTCTTCGAGATTCGCTCCCACTCTTCAATATGGGGGTACAGGTCGGTCAAAACAAACTGAACAGGACCCTTGCCCTCGGACTCGAGTTGTTTATTGAGTTCCGATTCGAGCACTGGGGTAGGCCCACCGGCACCGGCGCAGATATCCAGAACTGTGTACGAGGAAAGATCTTTCAGGTGTTCTTTGAACACTGCACATGCCTGTTTCGCGAGACTTCCACGGCTCCACCAGGGGACTCGAAGATTCCACAGTTGGGTGAGAACTAGTTGCTCGTGCTGATGAAGCCATGGGGGGCACCAGCTTTGGTCGCCGATTTCCAAAAGCTGCGATCGAGGCCAAAAGAATAGATGCATTATGTGCGTTTGAAGATATTAGAAGAGTTGTCTAGGGAAAGAACTTAGGGAAATAGCTCAGTCACGTGGTGTCACTCTGGTGCCACTTTTCAAATCAAAACACTTAAACACTTTATGTACAACATCATATGTTTAGTTGACCTCTCTATAAGGTTGTGTCGCCTTGAATATTACATGTGGATACAGGACCTCGGGAGGTATCCTTGTCAAATCCACTCCATATAGGACTTCCATCTCCAGATTGACAAGTCTTATGACACAGATTGATTTTGTCTCCCATGGACAAAGCCTGAATTCCTATACATATCATATTGTCTGCATACGAAGTGCACACAAGGTGGTCTGAATTGGAATCCCCACTAGTCCCAATTCGGAACCCAACGCAGTCCGGGGAACATCACTTTGACATCAACAGAGATGAAAGTCATTGTTGTCGGCGGAGGCCTAGGCGGTCTGGCCTGTGCAATCGCTTGTCGCCGTGAAGGCATTGATGTGGAAATTCTTGAGCGCTCCGCCAAAGTCCAGGAAGTTGGAGCAGGCATCCAAATTCCACCAAATGGCGCTAGGATAATGTGCGACTTTGGCCTACTTCCCCAACTACTGGAGCGGGGAAGTCAGGTGCAACACGTTAACTTCCGGAGGTACAAGGATGGTCATCTTCTGCGAAAAATGCCATTTGGGGATGATATCACGGAGGAGTTCGGGGCGCCGTGGATGTACGTGGTTGATTGGCCTGACCGTGAAGTTTACAGACTCTAAGCCTCTTGCAGAATCATTCATCGGGTGGATTATCATCGCATCCTTCTTGATGAAGCGATCCGACTTGGTACGGTTCTTCAACTAGGGGCAGAAGTAGAAGATATTTACACCGAGCAGCCAGCCGTTCTTCTCGCTGACGGGAGATGCATATCGGCAGATGTTGTGATTGGCGCTGACGGTAAGTAGATAGATTATTTGCCATCTATATCTTTGACTATCCCTTCTGACAAGAAAAGGCCAAATGTCTACGGTCAGAAAAGCTGTTCTTGGATCTCCTCAGTCTCCAGTTCCCACGGGCGACATGGCCTACCGAGCAACATTTTCACGGGAGCAGCTGGAGGCTTTGGGAGATGAGAAAGTAAATGAACTGTGTCAGGAAATTGCCGTCACAAGCTGGCTTGGACCGGAGAAGCATACCATTTTCTACCCTCTCCGTGGTGGAAAGGAGTTCAATCTTGTTCTCATGCGGCCTGATAACTTATCTTCGGACTCTCGCCGAGAGCAGGGAGATATTAAAGAGATGCGGGAAAGCTATGCTGACTGGGATGAAACGTAAGGATCCCTGGAATAGTCGAATGTAGTTTCTCACTAATATGTTTCTCGCTTTCTAGATTGCAAAAGCTGGTTTCTTGCGTGCCATCGGTATATAAATGGAAATTAACACATCTCTCCGAGCTGGAATCTTGGACCAAGGTAGGTACATCGCTATGTCGTTCCAATCACAAACTTGCTAATTGAACTCGCTAGGGATCTGTTGCTTTACTTGGCGATGCCTGCCATCCCACTCTGCCATATCAAGCGCAAGGGGCTGCGATGGCCGTTGAGGACGGAGCAGTTATCGGCAAACTTCTTGGCCTACTACAGGCTCATTATCTTGACCCTAGAAACTCTGGAAGCGACCCCTCGATATCAACGCGATCTTCAGCTCAAGATCTCACAGCTACTGTACTAACTCTTTATGAAAGATGCCGGAAAGCACGCACAACCCGAAACGTTCAAGGAGCAATCATGAATAGGAAGCTTTTCCACATCCCAGATGGGTTCTTGCAAATGATCCGGGATTTCATATTAGGATATGCAGGAGTTACTCGGAAGAGCGATTGGACATGGCTATTTTCATTCCGACAGGGGCGAACCCTTGGTCTAGATGTGCTGGAAAATTGTGAAAGGGTCTTTGAGGAGTGGAGATTGACACTTTAATTGCACAGAGTATATCAATACAGCTTTCTTACGGTTAGCTGGAAGAGTGATTGGATACTTCTTCCTAACATACCATCAAACCATCTCAAAAACATATCCAAATTTTCTAAATTATAGACCCTCTAGATCCAAACCCATAGAACACCTACCCTAACCTAATCAATCCAATGCAATGCAATCTAAGCTCCCTCCCTCATGCCAACCAAAATACACCCAGCGCCCATCATAGCAGCCCCCAGCCACCAAAGCCCGCCAACAGCCTCCTGGAAAACAACCATTCCAAAGAGAGCCGTGGCCAAGAAATTCGACGCCGTATTCGTGATGGAGACTTTGACCGTCGATGGACCGGCTGTTAGGGCGCGTGTAAAAAGTGCCCACATTATTATGTTGCAAATGACGTTTAGGCCGAGACAGGCCTGTGGATATGGGTTAGTATGGAGAAATGGAATATATAACAGTATAACTAGATGGAGCAGAAAGGGGTATAAAAGTATATGAAGGTGTAACATACACCTCGAGTAAGCATCTCAATAATAGGCGATGATTCCAGACCGAAGAGGTGGGCGAGCGATTGGGCGAATGCTGTGGTGTGGTCGTCTGTGGTTCTGTGGAACGTTAACATACGTTACACGGGATAGCTTATAGTTTATAGCTTATATATAACTTATATATAGCTTATATATCTGGTATACATAGCATTGCTCCGATTGGTAACGTACAATTTCGCAAAAACACCGTTCAATGCAGCAAAGGCGCCGCTCGTGATTGCAAGGATGATCCAGGGGGATGTGGAGGAGGTTGATTGGGTTGAGGTGGACATGGCTGCGGTTGAGATATAATTGTATATCCTGTAGTATTTCGAGTACTGTTATATAGAATTGTAGTCTATATCCAAGTAGCGTAGGACTCAAGGGCTAGATGGTTTAAGTGACGTTGAAGGAGTTCGCGTGCCAAGACTGATTGCGATTGCGATAAGAGCTGATATGGATGATTGCGAAACACATCTATACATCCATGGATAGTTAAGAATAGCAGTTTAATTGAAACCCTAAACGCAACATCAGATATGCAATAATCCACATCTAAATCTACAATCTACGGCGACAGTCTCTGAAGCCGCCACTTAGCACCCTCCTCCTCCCCCTCAACACGCACATACCGGAACCGATCATGCAAACGACTCCTCCGACCCTGCCAAAACTCCACAGACTCCGGCACAAGCCTGACACCACCCCAAAACGGCGGCAAAGGAATATCCTCCACACCCTTAAACCTCTCCTCCATCTCCTTAACCTTCAACTCAAGCAACGCCCGCCCATCCTCATCATCCGTCTGATCAATATCAGCCGGCACAATCGAATTCCCATCAAACGCTCCCTGCAACTTCGCCACACTCTTCCGACGCTGATTCTCCTCCATCTTCCCAGGCTCCGCAGACCACAAAACCCGACTCTGCCAACTAGCCCATCCACCAATCTGACTCCCCCGCTCCCGCGTCCGCCAATACATCTCGCTCTCTTCACGGCTCAGAGGCTCAAGCAAGCCCTCAATGCGAACCTGGCGTTCGACACCAGCCCAACTGAATGTCAATGCACCCCATTTATTACCAGTCCCGACCTCAGAGGTAATGCTCGTTGGCTCGGGCATGGCGCCGAGTGTATCGGCGCTATCCCCAAGTCCGAAGACTTGTCCACCTTTGCCTTCGCGACTACCCCAGTTACTGTAGACGACCCAGCCGCGCTCGTCGAGTTCTTTAAGGTAAACGATGCGTGCGCTGACCCGGCCTGAGGGCAGGGAGGCGGTTGATAGGGTGCATGTTTCTGGGGCGGACGAGGCGGGGAGGCGTGGGTCCCGAAACCAGGTGTTGAATTGGTGGAGGGGGTTTGTGCCGTGGATTTGGGAGATGGTTAGGGGTGGGTTTGTGCCGAATTGGTGGGCGCGTGCGGCGTGCGAGAGGACTTCGGTTTCCGTTGTGGAGTTTGGGGTTGAGGCTGGGGTTGGGGTTGAGGTGCGGAGGGCTTCTGCGATTTGACTCGGGGCTGGGACTGCTTGTTGGGGTTCTGGGGTTGGCTCCTCGGAGGTTGGTGCAATATCCCCTGGTGCGACTTGAGATTGGAGTGTTAGCTTGAGGTTTGTAGGGTGAGGGGGGAAGGGGTTTAGTCGGATCTTTGTGTAGAGGGATTTGGTATGTAGACTTACAGATTAGCTTCTTCGGACGCCGGTGGGCGTCTGTCTGGTGTTCATTTTGGTCCATTGTTGGTCGGTTGCTAGGGTTGGTGGAATATCGAAGTTGGCGGGGTTGGGAAGTGCGGAGGAATGAGTCAACGGCTGAACGGAAAGTGAAGGGTAAACGGGTCTGCATTAAAATAGGATAAGATGCACCTCAATTGCTAGAGATTTTAAGAAGTAAAAGTTCCTGGAAGCTGTAAGTTCCATAGAAATCCTATAAAAGCGGAAAATTCCGAGACGTCATGCCATTAGAGATAATGTATAAGATAAGATATAAAAGATACAAAAGATTACAGAAACATATTTGACTCATTCACTTTTTTTCATATTGATTTTTGCGTCTATGACGCGGTGGGAGAGTTGAGATGTGTCTATAGACAAAATGACAATGGTATACAGTGCTTCAATGCACGCCCTTTTTTAAACGCCAAACCTTCGCTGGATGCAAAAAAAAAAAAAAAAAAAAAACCAAATATCCCAGGTATATCCAACTACCCTGCAGACGCCGAACCGGAAGTATCCCACAGGGATCCAGCCCTGGCAGAGAGATTGGGTGCAACATAAACATTAAATGGGTATCACCTGGTCACAAATATAGGCAAGAGAATTTAGAGAGAGGCGGAAGCTCCACCGATGAGATCGACGATCTTGCCGGCCACCGCAGAAGGGTATCCACGCGACATCATCTCCTGGACGATGGTGGCGGCACTAGTGCGATCGTCGACGCTCAGGAACGCACGGGTCATCGCTTCGTAGGTGCTGGGCTCTCGCTTCTGAATACCGATGCTGTCATAGATGACCTTGGCCTTGGACACGTTACCCTCGGCGGCCCAGCCGTGGATCAGAGTGTTGGCAATGTAGGCGGTCATCTCGATCTTGCGTGCAAACATGTTCTGGACGACTTCTTCGGTCTCGGTGACGCGGTGGTTGGCGACCATGGACTCGAAGAGAGCTTGGTAGAGGCATGGCTGGAGGCGCACGCGGCGGTCGGAGACGACGGTGTCGAAGACCTTGCGCGCGCCAGCGAGGTCATGCAGGACGCAGCCCTTGGCGTGCACGAGGGAGGCATAGTGCACGGCATCCGGGTGGTGACCGGCGGCCTTCATGGACTCCAGCACGGCTTCGGCGGCGGCCATGTTCACTGGCTCCAGGGAGGCGTGTGCGTCAATGAGAAGCTTGTAGGTGTGGAGGGTGGGCTGGATGTTGCGTGCCTGCATGCGCTCGTAGTAGGCCAGGACTTTGCTGATGTCGCGCTTGGTGTTGAGGAAGTACTGAATCATGGAGTTGTAAGGCGCGGGGCGCGGCTTGTAGTTGGGCATGGATTCCATCTCTTCGAACATCTCCTCGGCGAAGCGCTCGTCGCTGACACGGCAGAGAGCATTCACAATGGTTCCGTAGGTAACACTTGTCGGGCGCACATTGTTGGCACGCATCTCGGCGAAGTACGCAAGGCAGTCGTCAATGCGACGGGCCTTACCCAGCTTGCCGATCAACGCGTTGTACAGGAAGGAAGTAGGCTCCACGCCTTCCGCGACAGCACGGTGGAAGACCTTGAGTGCCTCAGTGGCCTCGTCGAAGGTCTTGGTGGACTCCTTGAGGGTAGTGATGTACAACCCGAAAGTGTTGGCCGAGGGTGCGGAACCGAGAGTGAGAAGCTCCTGGTGGTACTGAGCAGCCAGCTTGCGGTCACCAAGGGTGAGGCAAGCAGCAACCATGGCATCAAGAATGGAGACCCAGCCGTATTTGACAACGCTGAAGTTCATATCAAGGGGAACATCGGTGCGTGCCATCTTGTGAATGTCGTGAGCCAGAGTCATGCGACCTGCCTTGGCCGCAGCGGTAATCAGCTTAGCATAGGTGATATAGCGCGGGTGACGACCAATGCGGCGCATGTTGTTCAGACGAGTCAGAGCATCATTGAGGTGAGCCTCGCTGCGCCCGCTAGTCTTCTCAAGTCCCTCTGCGATGATAGCAGATCCGCGGAAGTCGGTCGCGTGAGCGTAAGGATCAAACGATTCGGGGGCCAGAGACGGAGTGGTGATCGAGGTCTCCGTCATAGAGACGGGGCTTTGACGATCAGACGAAAGGAACACCTGAGAAGGCGAAACGGAAGTCTGGGAGCCCGCCTCCAGATGATCTTGCCACTTCTTGACGACATCAGGGCGACTGACAAAGAGCTTGCCAACAGCCTGGTCGACGAGGCCAGTGGTATAGAGGTCCAGAGGGAGGGAAGAAGACAGAGCGACGTCAAGCATGTGCGCAAAGCGAACGGGATGAGCGACATCGAACAACATGGAACCGCTGCTGACTAGCATGCCAGCCTGGACTTGGAGGGCCAGGGTGAGATCGGCAGCCTTGAGCTGGGAGATACCGATGGGGCCAAGGTTGGCGACAGCGTGCTCAGCAAGAGGAGACACAAGACCACCGTTCTCTAGCATAGACCACAACAATGTCATGGATGATTGAGGGGAGAGAACCACGGCCGACTGCATAAGGACGCGACCAAAGAGATGGAGTGACTCGGTAATCTGTTCTCGGACGGGGTTGGCGACGGCAGCGTGTTGATCTTGGACGGCGGTGCGGATACGCTTGAACATGTTACGGGCCTGGTGAAGACCTTCCTCAATATTTCCACTCTTGAGCAGAGCGACCGCATACATAGCTGTCGGCTGGACCAGATCCGGGGTTGCCTGACCCACTGTGTTCAGCATGATCCACAGTGAACGGGCAGCGGAAACATTGCCTCGGCGGACTTGAAGGGCCAATAGCGAGATGGCTGGGTTCTGTCGTACGTCAGGTGCGGTGGGCAGACGATCATAAGCTTCAGACGCGGTGGGGAGATCGCCCGCATCGGCCGCAGCAATGCAGATGCGAGAAATGGCCTGATTCCGAGCATCATCATGCAACTCATTCTTGGCCTGTTCCAATGCCTTGCTGTGGTTTCCCGTGTTGAGCGAGTGTTGCACAAATGCATCCTCGACAATCACAGCTTCCACTGCAGACCATCGGTCCTGGCGACCTTCAGTTACCTCATCGAATGAAGAACGAATCCGATCAAGGAACTGCATGGCACCCTCCTCCTTACCGCAGGACAGATAAGCACGGATCAAAGCAGCATAGACCTGGCCGTCTTGGCGCTGAACGATACTGAAGACGCCGCTGTCGTCAGAGACAGCGAGTCCTCGATACTCGTTATAGCACTCAACGGCACTCCTGAGATCACCAGTGGAAGCGAACGCGGTGATCATGGAGGGGAAGATAGTGGCATGTGGAGTCATCTTCTGCGATTCCATATGAGCGTAAATCCGGATCATATCCTCCACCTTACCTTCCTTGGCACAGGCAATGATAAGGTGACGGTACATCTCGAGCGGGAAGACAAGGCGGTCGTGTCGGGCCGTGGCGGTATCAAAGAGCTTGACAGCGATGGACAGAGAAGTATCCTCGGCGAGAAGATCCCGCTCCAGTTCACTCGACTGAAGCATGAATTTGCCAGGCTCCTCCATACCACCGAATCGAACGCGTTCCTGCTCCAATGCCTCCTTGGCCTTGATGATGTCGTGAGCCCGGGTGACCAGAAGCTGAACAAGAGTCTCGTAGGTATCTTCATCGGGAACTACCCTTCGACGAAGCATGTCAGAGTAGACATCGAGGGCCTTGGGAATGGCCTGGGCTGCATCAGGGTGAAGACGGATGGCCGCGACCAACAAGACATTATATGCCTCGACAGTCGGAGTGAATCCCTCCCGGAGCAAAGTTTCAAACGCAGCGGGAATTTCTGCAAAGTTGTTGGAGTGGGCCAGTCGCACAATGCGATCCGAAGCAATCTGGTTGGCTTCAGACACGACACCCTCGACAGTCGGTTCAACACTCGCATTCCCCAACGCAGCCTCCTCGGCCTGTGCCTGCTCCTCCTGAATCTGAATCTCACGAGCCACAGCCTCCTCCACTTGGGCACTAACATCCTCGTTCACAGCCGCCTTGGTCGGATGAGGCACTACATCGGACGCAGCCCGATCTTCGTGAACGTTATCCGCCTCCTCCGCCGAGGGCTTCCACCCAATCCGGCGCTTGAACTCGAACTGGGTCCAATCGCTATCATCCCCGGTCTGCTGAGCATTCTGCCATGCGGCATAATAGGCGGCTAGACCGAGATCTCCATTTCCAGATCCTCCCTGGCTGGCCTTGGCGCCAGCGCCGGACGAACTGGACGCATTAGAGAAAGCATTCTGTAGTTGGGTTGTGCGGGAGAATTTCGCGGGTTGGGCGAGCGCATTAAAGGGGGTGGTGGACGCGTATGACTGCGACGCGGCGACTACGGATTGAGCATAGCCATGAGTAAAGGCTTTGGTGAAACTCTGGCGCGCGAGGTGGGTGAATGGTTTGAAGACCATTTATTTGATGGGCAACCTCTTCAGAGCAAAGAGGCAATGCTAGGACGAAAGTTAGCGGAATGATTTTCACGTGCTCATTTTTTTTTCCCTACCGTGCACTCAAGATAATAGCGAAAGTGCAGGTTCATTTGACGACAGCTTGTCGCCAATGAACGCGCAAGTGCAAAATTAGGATAATATTAAAAAAAAGGACCTGTTGTTGACAGGGCCAGAAGATGTGTGAAGAGAGAGAATGACGGTAGCCTGGAAAAGAAGGGGGGGCTCAAGTATGTAATACGGCTTCTTCTGGAAAGAGATGGAGGTTTCACAGTGGATCAATTTTGTTAGGGCCGATCTTCTCCGGAGAATCCTCTTACTTTGGGATACATTTTAATGACTCCGCCTCATTCAAATTTCCTACGTATCTAAGCCTTTTACGAGATATTTACTGGTACATGGATGCATTGTATCTGTCATATCAGATCTTCCCTGCAAGGCGGAGATTTCCCATCGGGTCTTCTCGAAGATACATCGAGGACAAGTATCTAGATGTCATCAAGCTGACTTTTAAACGTTAAACGGGTCAGCTGAAAAGTCAAGAAAACCAAGTCCAATCAGCATAGAGATATTCTCCTAGTACCTTGGTAAATAGGGGGGTTCCTGGTGAGTCACGTTTTCTCTTCCGATTCTTTTTCTTCCTTTTCTCGGACTTCCGCTTCCCCGGTCATTTCACGGCCATCTCGGCCTCCCGACTGGCCGACTCGGACTTATCGGAGAATGGCAGAATATAGGCGGTCAAGATATCTGGCCTTTGATTTGGTTTTTAAACCCCGAAACCAACCCCTGCTTGCATTTTTCGTTAGGGGTTTGCGCACCTTCCCCCCACGTCATATCGGGTTTATGATTATTCTCTTTGATTCGACATAGTCCGACGTCAGATCTAGATTGGCTCCTTGTTTGGGTCTGAAAATACCCAAAATCGAACTTCTTGGACTGAGATCTCACACGGATCTTGCCCCTGTGACCGAGCACCGACTTTAGCCGACTGCAAATAAGATTTTGGTCTTAAGTGTGGCTTGGAAGGTGCCCGGTTCCCAATGGGGTATTCCCCGGGGTAACACTAGTCCTGGTAGACCGATTTTGGGTGATTTTCAGGCTCAAACGACGAGCTAATCTACTGGTTCTGAACGCTTTCTCTCTTTAACATTGTGCTTATCTTCTATGTTTGAGAGTTGAAATATTTGAGAGCATGTCCTAATAATTCACTAAGAACACCAGGGTTTGCATGAATATCAAGAACATCCTGTCTCCTCCAGGGACCAAGAGTCCATGTCAGGTGACTGAGGGCATTCTGAACATCTGGCGTCGTCATCGGCGGAATGCACGAGGCATTGTGGTGCTGCATTGCACTAAGCCGAGTGTGTGGAATCATACTATGGTGGTCTACACGCCAGAGGTGCTTCTCAAAGACCCAAATGTCGCAGTTGCGTACCCTTCACGCTTCGGCAACTGGGTCTTCCTAGGCTACTCTGACTAGGGTATAACTATCATAAACATTAATCCTATCCTACGCTTTTGGAGAAACAGACCGAAAACAATAAAGACTGGAAAAATAAAAATGTCATCACCTAAGGGTGATCCGGCTGGAGGATCAAACCGCACTTCCAGATTAGGATGTACCAAAATGCTAGACACCCGAACCAGACCGAATCTCCCGCCTGTTATTAACCACGAAACGACGAGACATAACCTTGCAATCGTTTGCCTAGGTCTATATACTCCACATCAAATGTAGAGGTCATACTATACCGAACCTTCTTTTCACAGCAGTGAAGGTGGCTGGCAATTGCATCGATCCAGAGCTATTACAAATGTGCTGCAGATTACATATAGTCTTGCAACTATCTGGCCAAATCAATAATAAGAGTTAAAGTGCTAGTTATCTTGTAGGTATTCGCATAGCTTCACTTATATTGATTTCACACTTGCGCCACTAAGATGAACATGCCTCTGGATGACCTCTGCCGCTGCACTGCAAGCAATGAACAGCGGCCGATACTACGGTTGACATAGACTCGTAGCCCACAGCAGTGCAGAGTGCAGACGGAATGAACATCACAAGTTCTCTGCGTGGACTTTCTACAATGCACACCCCCATCTTCATTCTTCAACGACTTGAATTTGGGTGCGGTTCAGACTGCGTTGTGCTTTGCCCCCTCCAATAGTATTTCGTACACGCCAGCATTACCTCCCAGTGTCAGCAAGCTTGACTCCCGGGAATAGCATGTACATGCGATCACAATACATATGGCACAGATGTGCACATCAATATCGTGGAGGTACACCCGGAATACCTCGATTACTTGCGTTATACTCACCTGCCAAAAAGTTCCCACGATTCCAACTCATTCTTAAAAATTCGGCTATACGACCCATCCAATATCTTCCCCAGAAAGGATATGGAGATATCAGGCTCTCTCGGGGTGGCGCTGACTATAATCCACCATCGAGAGTGGGAGAAATCAGAGGGGAAGAGAAGGATGCGAGTGAAGCTGTCGGTGGTCAGTAATTATCTCGTTGGGATATGATTTTGCCCATAAAAGTACGTCCGATTCACATGTTTCTGTTTTTCTCATCACCATTATCTTTGTGGTAGCATTGATGGCAAAGACCCGCTGTTCCCTTGCGTGAAATCTCGAGTGTGCATTTGACGGGAAGGGGGGTAGAAGATGTATAAAAGCAGAAGTATCGATTTGGTGAGTGTGATGAGATGGTTCAGACTTTACTGTGAGGACGCTGTGAGTGAGGTTCTACAGGTGTTATAGATCGTTGCTTGCCCTAGTTCTATAAGGTTCAGCGGACCCCTTGGTCTAACGGTTTGTTAGTTTGCAGTTTATTTCTTATCCCTCAAACCGCCTGCCTTGGTGTTTGCCGTGCCTTCCGTATCGCCTGGACCTGGTGTGCCGTTCTGATCGCCGGTCAATCCAGGCGATGACTTTTTTTTCTCTTGGCTACCATCTTTACTATCTATCAGATATTGCACAGCAACATTTCTTTCGTTATTCCAATTTATACAATCCCTCTTGCTTTCTCATTGCAGTAACTCTAGCTCCAACTGATTCATGATAGTTACCCAGTGCTAACTTAACATATAATATAGCTCTACGGAGTACCGTATGTTGCAAATCGTATGTTGTATATTGTATGTTGTATATTGTATGTTATACGCCGTATACTATGACATTGACAGCAACTATAGCGTAAATAACACCCAGCCTCGCTACTATTATACTAAACTACTCTGTATAGACTACATACTTCAAGGGTTGTACTCTAGACCGTGCAGGGAATTATGTGCCAATAGCAGATAACCCTTGAAGTAGGTAGTGCTCTACAAAATACCAAGCACTCTCCACGCCGTGCCGTGGAGCAGTTCCTTCAATCGCAAGCTCGGCAAAACACAGTACACTGCGTATCGTACAATATACATATACATTATGTCAAATGTTATTGAAAAGTTGTTCTGCACATTTCAAGCCTCGACGTTGTTGAGCAACTAGTTGATGGCTGGCTCCTTATGCCTCAGCCGCAAAGCCCCATAGGTTACACTATATTTGATCTAGTTCCGTATGATATCACGTGCCATAAATCGGTGACGTTATTTTCGTCCGAAAAGGGCAACTCCAGATCAAAAGGGAATTCACATATGATTTCTCCAGGTCAGAAACCTAAAATACTTGTTTGATCGAAGTTGCTCAAGAATATTAATATATGGAGCTTTTCTGCACTTTTTTATTAAAAACGGATTGATCTCATTTTATGGTACTTGTATTGGTACGAAGTACTCTGACACACGTTAACTCCACTTGAACTATGACGTGCAAATAATAAGTGATATCCACTATTACTAACATATATAAACTTGCCCAGTCCTGGCATATTCTAATAACCTTACCTTATGCTCCCTTAACTCTACATAAGTATATTCGGCTGAGCCGGAGGTAGGGCGCCAAGTACAGGAGCATAATACTCGATTTGGATTACACGTGACTCCGGAAATACGGGTGGAGTGAGCTACCGGACGATCCATGTGGGTCTCCAATATAAACTCCTTTGTTCAATCACATTGTGTCTGGACTTTTTACTTTATGGGTTTGATTGGAAATCAAAGATAGCTTCTCGAATGGTTTCAGACGTTCTGGAACAATGGAAACCGTTACGGACGAAACTCCCGGCATTTTCATTGTCTAACTTTAAAAAACTTCGGAACTTACAACCTAAGCACTGTCCATGTAATATGTACTTTTATATTAGATATCCCACATTCCACATCCCACATTGGGCGATCATCATGTATGATGTTAGCTTGTCGATTATTGTATCCAGATACCTATATAGAATACAGTATTTAAACTATAGAAGTGGGCCTAGATCGTCGTTCCCATGACGATACTCATTTCCTTTTGAACACCCGCGTCATCCGTACATATGCGCTTAGGCATGTAGCATACAGCCTAACCCCTCCGCCACTCCAGGGCTAGATATCGGAATTCGGAGAGGAAATGGAAAGTCCCAAAGAAGGATGGCAAAAGTGAAGCAATTGGGAAGTACGGTTCTTGGTTATCCGAATCGAGAATTTCATTCTTTGGGTCTCTGCCGTCTTAAACGGATCAACCCATCATTGCCGGGATAACCGGTAAGAGCTTCCATGCCTGGTGACGAAATCCACTATGTGGCTACTGACCATACAGCTGGCTGGATGATTTTTCAGCTTTGGAGAAAGGGATTTAAAAACGTATTGCTTATAAATTGTGCCAGATCCCCTTCAGGTGCCCGCTGATTATTAGACATACCTTCCTCCCACATAGATACCTCTTTCATATTAATACAAGCTTGTACAAAGCTCTTTTCGTCATGACACAAACACTCGTGGAGACACCGCTCCATCCTGGGCGCACCGAACGAGGCTCAGAGAGTGATAGCTCGCTCGACGAGATCGCGCAGGAGAAGCACAATGCGCTGGTGACAACACTCGGCCATCATGGAAAAGACCTCGACAATTCGGCATCCCCGAAACGATGGAAGAGCTTCTGGTCGGCATTCCGACACCTGGCACACTTGACCCCGAAACAAGTGGATGATTTCATGGCCTCATACGTCATCTATAACCTTGACTGGTCCGACGAAAAACAAATGACCGAGTCTCTCGGCCCTAACTACCAAGAGAAAGTCGGCGATTGCTTGAAGTCCTATTACGGAGTCCTAAACCACCTGTGCGCACTCGGCGATGTCGAAAAAATGTACATCCCGCCATGGATGAGCCCCAAGTCCAACGTGCTGGAGAACCAAATCATCTACGAGCGCTCAATCGCACAAGACATCGGCCTGGGAGTGGGGAAGAAGGTGCTGGATCTGGGCTGTGGGCGCGGGCGCGTCGCCGCTCACATGGCGCAATACACCGGCGCCCAAGTAACAGGCCTCAACATCGACCCAAACCAGGTCGAGCAAGCGACAACCTTCAACCAGGAGCGCGGACTCCAGAATAACTTTGTCACACAAGATTTCAATGACCTCCCCCTGCCCTTCGCCGACGAGACCTTCGACGCATTCTACCAGATCCAAGCACTGAGTCTGTGCAAGGACCTCCCCGCCCTGTTCCGTGAAATCTTCCGTGTTGTCAAGCCGGGCTCGAAGATCTCCCTGTTGGACTGGATCAGTCTACCGGCTTACGATGCCAGTAATCCGGAACATGCGGAGCTCATGCGTCGCGTCAAGCCGCTCATCGGTGCCGTCGGTACACCCACGCAAGAAAGTCTAGAGTCGGCGTTGAAAGAGGCTGGATTTGAGGTTGTGCGGTCGGAAAACGCTAGTATCGATGGTCTTCAGGCCCCGCTTATCGATACTGTCGATGTATACTTCCGCACCCTGCGCCAGGCGATCCTTGCGCTCGTCAAGGTGCATGTGCTGCCGCGACACTTCAAGACCTTGATTAACCGTCTTTGTTTGGATGGTCAGGCTTTTGTTAAGATGGATCGTATGCGCCTTGCTACGACGAGTTACAGTATCATTGCGCAGAAGCCCAAGGCTTAGGCTTGGAACAAGGTTTCTTGGCGGCGAGACGTGAGGAAGTGGATGGAGTTTGGTAATTTCCTGATATGAATTGACGGTGATCGGAGCAATATATATCACCCGCTTCCACCCATTGTCGCCCCTTGGGAATTGGACATCTCGACACACAATACCCTGTACATTTATAAATGGATTAGAACGCGGTGGAGTTTGAGGCATGGAGTTTTGGTTATTTCCATTTTTAATTTATCACCTTAGTTTCTTGAGCAAGAAGGAGTTCAATGTTTTATGAAGGAATTGCATTTACATTTACATTTCACAATATAAACTGCATTCAAAGATAACTACTTCCAAGTAAATCTTATCAATAAAATATAAAACTACAAACAAAATAAAGAAATAAAAAAGCATCAATATAGAAATTGAGAAAAACAAAAAAGAAGAGGTCGTGCCCGGGATCGAACTGGGATTACTGGTATCAGAAACCAGGGTGATAACCATTACACTACACAACCAATTGATATAAAGAGCAGTCAGTTTTAGTCATAAGAGACTAAACGACTAGATTTGTACTTCTGCACACGGAGAGTCCAATTGTACCTTCCAAGGTTGTACATCCCCCACTAGTCCCTATTAGGAGAATTCCATACGAAGGTTGTACCTATAAGGAAATGTTCAAATCTCCTTTGAGCTGCATCTGCACATAAGCGCAGCACATCCTATCTGGCACTCCAACTCTCCCAACCCCCAACCCCCGTGACCGCGGGTCCTTAATCTCCCCGTAGTTCCCGGCTTTTTTCTCCCCCCCACAACAATATCTCCAATCTACCAGTACTTCATGTCTCCTTTACCGTCTTCCGTCACGGCGCTGTCTGCGCCGGGCAAGGTTCTTTTAACCGGTGGTTATCTCGTGCTAGATCGCGGCTACACGGGTACTGTATTTGCGCTCGATGCCCGCATTCATGTTATTGTCCAGCAACTGAGGAGGGGTCACCGCCGCGGGGCATCAGGATCCGGGCCTACTCCTGGCGTTGAGGCACTATCTAACTCGGGTACCGAGGACCAGGATGGGGAGCATACAGTTGTTGTGCGTTCCCCGCAGTTTGTTGATGCGGTGTGGGAATATGGTGTGCAGCGATGTGGGAATGGTGGGGGTGTCAAGGTCATCCAGAAGGGAGATGGGTATGTTTGGCTGCCACTCTTTGCGCGAAAATAATTGACTAATATCACCTTCTCTTTAGACCTCGAAATCCCTTTGTTGAGACCTCTCTCAGCTATGCATTGACCTATATTAGCTACGTTGCTGACTCCAAGGACTTCGGCTCCTTGTCTGTCACCATCATGGCGGACAGTGATTACTACTCGGAAACTGCTGCTTCCAAGGGCACCGCCTCGCAGGGACGTGGTGGACGCTTTGTCAATTTCGGCGTTCCTCTTTTCGAAGCCCACAAGACAGGATTGGGCTCTTCAGCTGCTCTGGTTACTGCGCTTGTCTCCGCCTTGGTCATTCACCGCACCATGCAGCCAGAAGACCTCGGTGCTGGTCGGGATAAACTCCATAACCTCGCTCAAGCAGCCCATTGCGCAGCCCAGGGTAAAGTCGGATCTGGATTCGACGTTGCTAGCGCGGTCTACGGTTCGTGCCTCTACCGACGGTTCTCGCCGTCAATCCTGGAATCTCTCGGCGACGTAGGCTCGGCTGGTTTCGAGGAGCGGCTGTTCCCTATCGTGGAGGACTCCGATCCCGAGCACCCATGGGACACCGAGTGTGTTGACTTTGGCATGCAGCTCCCCCGTGGGATGCAGCTGGTTCTATGCGACGTGGACTGTGGTTCCCAGACTCCCTCAATGGTCAAGAAGGTTCTCGAATGGCGGAATAATAACCGCAAGGAAGCGGATATTCTCTGGGCTAGTCTCCAGAATAACAACGAGCGATTGCGTCAGGAGCTCAAGCGCCAGGCGCAACACCCCGATGCCAATCCCGAAGGCGACTTTTCTGATATTCGTACCCTTATTCAGCGAACACGCCAGCATATTCGCACATTGACCCGCCGGACGGGTGTCCCCATTGAACCGAGTGTGCAGACCGAGCTGTTAGACAGTGTTTCAGAGATTGATGGTGTCATTGGCGGTGTTGTCCCGGGGGCTGGTGGATACGATGCCATCGCGCTCTTGATCCGGGATGATCCCGCTGTAATTGCGCGTCTGAGAGATCACGTTGCGAACTGGACGAGCTCGATCGAGGATGACTTTGGAGGCAAGATCGGCAACGTACGACTGCTAGGCGTGCAGCACGGCTCCGAAGGTGCGAAAAACGAAATGCTGGAGCAATACGCCGGTTGGGTCTAGGTTTAAAACAAGGCAACCGGTGTCCCACACCTATCAACGTGTTTCGGCTACCAGCGTAGCCTCTCCCCTAGTGCATCCTGGGCTGGACCCTCCAGAAAATACTAGGATAATTCACACGACTCACGGCTGAAACGACTTTGACTTGCATGTTTCTATCTTTTTGCCTATCAGTACCCACCCATCTGCGTCTCTATCTTCAGACTTATCCCCCTGCATATGCACCACGAGTCCCATGCTTGGCTAAGAGGGGTTTTTTTTTCTACCGACGTCCCCTATGTGTGACCGTCTGTTTGCCAGATGTTTCAAAAAAGACTGGACTGCTCTCAAGGCGAACTGCGCAGGTTGATATTCTTCAGCATGATTATGATATATATGAGATATAGAATTCACTTGCATTTCATGCGTGACAGTGGAACGGTGAAACTGCTTGTAGTCATGAGATCCTAATTGTCGTACGGAGTACAGACTACAGAGAGTACAGAGATACTTGGAGAAAGTGACCTGTCGATGCAACTATCCAGATGTCCAGATCTACAACATCGTGCTCCGTTCTCCGTACGAAGTACTCTTAACGTAGAGCTCGACGGGCCCTGTCTTGGCCAAACTAGTTTCCCCGGATCTTCACTTGATATTCTCTATTTGATAATTACACTAAATACTAAAGTGCTAAAGTACCTAAAGTAGTAGATTATTAAATCACTGTATTCTTTGACTCAAAAATAGGGGAAATATTTTGGGGCAGTTTTAATCAAGTTTAGGGTCAAGAAGTCAGTGCAGATCCCCTTCTTTCTTTCCACCTTGCAATTTGAATATCATTTCGGGGGTACATATACAGCCATTTCATCCACACTAGTTGAGGTATTATCCTGCGCCTCCCGCTCTTGACTCCTCACATCCTCTCTCATCTCACGGAATACCCTTCACTCTCAAACTTGATAGCCCCTTTTTTCCTACGGGGAAAAAGTCAATTGTTAACTGCCATCGGGGCATCTCAAAATGTCTACCGATCATCCGGAGTCGGGGCCAAACATCAAAGATATCAACCAAGCCCCAATCACATCTCCGCAGGATCAACAGATCACAGCACCAACCACAGAGCTCCAACCCCAACCAGACCTCGCTGATACGTCCATCTTATCCGTCCATCAAACCGCGAACCAGACAATCCACCCCGCAACTGGCCCCGGTGGCGAAACCAAATCCGCCCCCGTGACAACATCGCCGACTAACCCTCACCAAGTAACCGACAACGCACCCGTCGCGCTGGCACAACCCACTACACCGCCTTCAATGGAGACCGACGAGCCAAAGACTGCGCCCGAGACCTCAACAGAGCAATCTGATGACGGTTCTGTGAAGGAACTTGAGGAGGATGCTGGCCCGTCGCTGGTGATTACCCTCCTGTTGACGACGGGATCGCGCCACCCGTTTACTATCGATGGAAAATATCTAAAGAAGCGATCGGTGAATGTTGAGAACTTTGATCCGTTCTTGATGAGCGTTTACACGCTGAAGGAGTTGATTTGGCGCGAATGGAGATCTGGTAAGAATTTCGCCCCCGACCTGGACCTCTACAGTGGGCATCGGATGGGCAGAATCCATCTTGATGTGAGATGTCGTGGAATGAGAATAGCCAAGCTAACACTCTTGTCGATGTAGATTGGGAGACCCGTCCCACATCACCGAGCTCGATCCGTCTTATCTCGTTTGGGAAGTTGTTGGATGATAAATCGCCTGTTTCTGGTATGTTTTCCGCATTGCATGATCGCTATGGTTATAAAATTTGATACTAACAGCCCAACTAGACTCCAAGTTCAGCAAAGAACATCCAAACGTCGTCCATATGACCGTCAAGCCGCAAGAAGTCGTCGACGAGGAAGATGCAAAGGGAGCAAAGGCACAGTACAGCCGGGAGCGCGAAGCTAGTGAGCGCAGTCCTGGATGCCGATGCATTATTCTATAATCTCGCTGCCCTAGCTACGGGTCTCAAGTGTGGACGGACTGCTTCTAGCACTGCTGGTGTCTACTGCTTACATCCTTCCACACTGATACCCAACCTCCCCTTGTCTTCCCCCCGACTCCTCCACCCTCCACCTACCTGCCATGGCAGCGATACGCCTAATTCTGCCTGGACGCAGGATCAACATCCCTGTTCTGAGCCAACATGGGCGCTCTGGAAGCGGCGTTTAGACATTTCCCTTCTGACTGGACCTCACTTCCTGGGACCATGGTTTTCAACTTGTTTCTCTATCTCTGCGCCATGTTAGGCCCGCCCCCCTTGTTTTCTCATCGCTATATCGTCTGCATGCGGGCCTCATTCATCTATCCATGGATATTCTCCGGAGTGCTTCGTGTCTGAGGGCTCGATCTGAGATTCATTCTTTGCTTTTCGCATTGCTGTCACCATTATTCTTACTTCCCCACTGCCCGATTTCTCGATATATACCCCCTCCAATCCGACTTTCCTTTTCTTTGTGCTCTATCATTTTCCCTGTATGGTTCCTTTCCTCATGGACTTCCGTGTACTTACGACTTTGACCCCTTTCTCTCTATCCCTCTGTTTCTCGTGTTTCTTTGCTTTTGCTTGCCTTTTATAACTGCTTACGGTGGTTAGTCGTAGTGTATAGGGTGTTTTGGAGAAGGTTCACATGCATGTTTCTTTGTCATATATTAAATAACTTTTAAAGTGCCTATATCTTTCCGGGGTCTTGGTTGGAATTGCTGGTCAGGCACTTGGGTCGACGGTTAATTCGGAGTAGCACGCTGTTGATTCATACTGTAGAGACCTCTTATCATATTACGCTGGATGTGGTTCTGCAAGACTGCTTTGTAGAAATAGACCACGGATTGATTCAATATATCGACCGCACTGACCTTAACAGACAGACACATCGAAAATATATCAAGCCCAGTGATCTATCATTCTATTTGACGACATAAGGTAGGAGTATGACGAGGGACGTAAGAGGAGAATAGTAGAACACATGGACATAGAAAAGCAGAGAAACAAAAGAACACCATATCATCAAAGCCATTAGAAATCCATCTTGAGCCTCTTCTCCATCTCATCATGGAAAGCAGGCGGCTCACGGAGATCATCACCTAAACCAACGTCAGCCAAAACACATCCATCCCAAAACCAAAACAAAACAAAACATACCTTGGTAAATATCCTCCCACTGAACCTCACTATCCCGACCTCCAATAACAAGAATATCCTCATGAACATTCCCACCCCGCACACCGCCAAGCACAGCAGGCCGGAAAGTCCCATCCCGAACGATCTTCAGCTCCATTCCGCGACGGACTGGCTCCGCAATACCGTACGCCCGACGCAGTCCCTCCATCTTCATGGCATCCTGGGTAGCCCGCCACGCAATAAGTCGTGCCTCGAGAGGGTGCGTAGATGATGGAACCTCGCCGCTGCAGTTGGTGGACGACGCGTGCGCGGTGGCGGTCTGCGTGAGCTTGTTGCGGAGCGTGTCGGGGAGTCCCGGGGCGGAAGGTGCACCTTTAGATGGGCGGGGTGCTTGGAGGCCTGCTTGTTGGCGGGTTGTGAGGTTGCTCGTGTGTGTTGCGTTACCGCTTGGGGGGGCGATGCGGAGTGACTGGGGGATTTTGTTAGTTTTGGGTGTTTGCGATGGGAGTTAGAGGTGGATTGGGGGTTGGGTTTGGAGAATGGGGGTTTGGAGATGGTGATGGTGGTTCTAGATGCTTGCTTATGGGCTGGACTCCAGGGTGAGGTGCCCGGGATCCGTAGCTTGATAACGTACCATGATGAATAGATAATGCTAGGAGTTCGGGGTTCAAGGGTCGAAATCACAGATTGGACAAGTCTGGGTGTCTATTCAAAGCTCGGAAAGGAGATAGAAAAGTAGAAACAAGAGTAAAAGGAGGATGCAAGATGACCATCGATGATGCTTCAGGCAGAGAGAAGCAGCGCGGCCAGCTCCTACGACAGACGAGAGAAACCAACAACGCAACAATCCAACCCAATATCCAATCACGTGCCCTCCACTCCGCCGGGCCAACTCAATTCTATCGCGATATTCTCGACCCAGCGAAAGGGGAAACATTCACACCAACCACACCACCTAAAATGTCCCAATTACTCTCCCCGATAGCCCTCCGGGCCCTACGGACTCTCATCCACCGTCCTGCGGTCTCATCGCCCCTCTGCCGCACCATCACCACATCACCCGCCATCTCCTACGCCTCGAAACAATCACCCATCACCTCCCGCTTCAATTTCCACCCCGTCTTCCGCACAGCCGCCCTCGGCCTCTCCGCCGTGCCAACGCGGCAATTCTCTAGCTCGCCCATCATTCGCGCTACGTACAACCAGGTCCGGCGCGGCATCCGTACCGGACAGCGGGCTCGTCGGGGTGGATCGCCTGCGCTGAAGGGTACGCCTGGATTGAAGGGAGTTTGTCTTAAGACTGGTGTTACCAAGCCTAAGAAGCCTAACTCTGGTGAGAGGAAGGTTGCAAGAGTTCGGTTGAGTTCCGGGAAGGTTATTACTGCTTATATTCCTGGTGAAGGTAAGATTTACCAATTGAATTGAATTGGTGTTGAGACTAGAATCTGGGTTATTTGGATTCTGATCCGGTGCTGGTTCTTTCACATGGATTTTGGCTAATTTATTGTACAGGCCACAATATCCAGCAGCACAGTGTTGTCCAGGTCCGTGGTGGACGTGCTCAGGATTGTCCTGGTGTGAAGTATACCCTTGTTCGTGGTGCGATGGATTTGGTAAGTTCTTTTTTCGCTTATATTTCTATATACCCGATTTCGAGGTGTATATCTTTCTAGATCTTTTACTGATTGTATGTTTTTAGGGTGGTGTTGGAAGCCGCATGACGAGTCGCTCGAAGTACGGTGCGAAGAAGCCGAAGACCAACTAAGATGGATTCGGGAATTCAGGTTGATCATTGACCTGTGAGATTATACAATTTTTGCTTTGTTTGATCAGCTGCTGTATAAGAGTTAGCCCTATGGGGCCGCTTGGATTTGACTTTTTGTGCTCTTCGCTGAGCAACCTCTTTCTGTTCATATATGCATGTAACACTACGGATTGCGACTGTTTATTATCATATTATCATATTCGATATTCAAGCTCCTTGAGTCAACTCTTTGAAATTGTAAAAGGTATAGGAAATGGTTCCGGGAATATCACTTTACTCCGGACCTATGCAAACCCCAAACAAGGATAAACGCTCGAAACCCCAGGAACACACATGTCAGATATCGCAGTAAAACCTCCTGTGGTAACGCGATAATGGGAATCAAAATGAAATAGTTAAAAAAAGGTAAACCAGCAGATTTTTGCCCAAGCATGGTAAAATCGAATAGCAGATTGCTTCATCCATGTGTTATACCTACCACTAGCAGAGCAGCAGGCAGAGTGCATGGAGATTCCACCGAGTTTGTAGTTGCCGCGCAAATGGGGGACACTGTCAGCCTCCAAAATGCGCAGCGCTTCGTATCCAGACGAGACAACCGACCCGCGCATTGTCGCTAATAAGGAAACGACTGGGCTATCCATGAATAGACCCAGAGGGATTGAAGACAAGTAACTCAGTCGTATTTCTTATCCCATCCGTTCGGCTTCTCCATCTTGGCGACATCGAACCATTTCTTGGTGCCTGTATCACAATTAGTTTTGCACTAGAGATATAGATCGGAGGGTTATGGGCATACAAGAATAATCCTTCCAGTCAAAGTTATCTTTCGGTTGGCAAGAACATCTCAAGTCCAGACGTTTCTTTTCATCCGAGGGGCAATGTGTGAATGGGACATGGTAGTAGGCGATGTCATCCCAGAAGTGGATTTCATCTTTCTTTAACATCAGAGAAGCGGCGATGGAGTGAACCGGTGCGTCACCCCATCTCTCATAGAAGAAACCACCGTCCTTGTCCAAAGATGTGAAATAGTCAATGTATGCGTCGGATCGCAGCCACTCCAAGCTGCCAATCTCAAAGTTTGACCACTGGCGGAAAGGTTAGCGAGGTTCAAGTTTAACACAATTTGAAGTACTTACGAAGTGGCAGTTATTGTAGGATTCTCCACCGTCATTGCTGATGAATTCCATGGCATTTCCCTCGGCAACATACTCGGGGTGACTGCCTGTGAACTTCTTCACGCTATCCCACAGGGTAGGAATAGTTGCGGCATACTCGTACAGACTGATGACAAAGCTGTACTTCTTGTTGTTCTCCTTCATGAAGCGGAATGGATCGGAGTCGATATCGCAGAAGAGCTCAATGCTAGGCTCGACGCGCCAGTAGTACTCATAGTTCAGCATGAGCGGGTGGCGGAAGAAGAACCCAGACTCATAACGACACATATGGCGGTAACTCTCCGAACCGCCGTAAATGATCTTCTTGAGATCCATCTCCTTTCGCGCTTCTTTGGCCTTGTCCTTGTCGATCCACTCTGGGTACGACCAGTGTTCCTCGGGGATGACACCATAATGAGTTTTGCCTGAGACCAGTGCGGTGGTCAATTTCTTGAACTCGTCATCGAACTCGTCGTCGTTCAGGAACACCCAATCATAGTTGTACTTGTCGTTGAAACGGTCTTCGACTGTTCGAATGGACTTGACCATATCCCAAAGGTCGGAGTTGCGCGCGAGGGTGACAAAGGTGGCGTTTACACGTTCGCCATGGTGTGGACCGATAACTTGCGGTTTTTGCGACTTGACTGAGTCGTATGTGGGTGAGGTCTTGGATGCAGGACCGGTTAACCCGGAGGTAGGCATCGGGATGGAGGATTTTGAGACGAAGAAGAAGACCGCCAATGCCTAGTCAACGTTAGCAATGGACATTTGTGAGTATAAAAGAAATACTTACCACAACGGCAAAGAGTAGGTAGCGTGCATATCGAATAGAGACGGACATGGTGATGTGGGGGGAGATATGATGGTTTCCCCGTTCAGTGGCAAGGCAACAACAGATGTCAAAC